ACTTAAGATGCGACTTACAGCCAAGAATGTGGCAGTCGGGACCTGTGTGACTGAGGCTGGTGCTTCAATCATCTGCCAGGAATGGGGGAGAATAATACTTGTTTTTCTGTATTATTTTCAAATTATAAAAGTAGGAAGAAAAGCCTACAGCAGCAGTGATTTGGTAATCAAGCGAGAAAGTGGCTCCCACTTGGAGTGGATGTTTAACCAGGCTGCAAATGAGGCAGCCACTTGATTAGACCCAGTTCTTGAAGCTGCGGGGGTTGGAAGTCTAATCGCATTCCCTCCAAGTCTACAAAGCTTCCACTTGCCTGAACTTTTCAGCTTTTGCTTGGCTTTACCCTTCTGTTCTGGCCATAGATGAATTGACTCTGAAAAATACAATGAGAGAATGTGGGCATTTAACACATCTGTTTATTGTTTTATAATGTTTGATTTTAAAAAAATAAATGCTAGATCTTACATGACAATTGCCTTAAAGTCACATACGATGCTGCAGTGTTTGACACCCTGGGTCACTGAGCTGAAAAAAGAAAGAGCAGGAAGAGATCGGTATTCAATTTGGGATTGTGTGTCTTTTCTCAAGTGAGTACGGCGCCTTCTTCCTTGATGTGAACGATTATTGATTACCACGCTCTCAGAATCACAACTGTGTGAGCAATTTGTAGGGTACGGTGAAAAAAATTAAAACTCAGTGTCCCTGCCTAAAAAAATAAATAAATAAGACTTTTTAAAGAGGCTGTAAAAGGGCATTAAATCAAGCTTGCTGCCTCCCTAACCACAGGTGCCCATGTGATTGTGTCAGTGACATGGGGAGGAAGCCAGCTTGGCTAGAATTCTTTCAGGAGTTAACAACCACTGGGAGGGGGGGAGGGACTAGATCTGATTAACGTGGCCTTGTTCCTCCATTCCTAAGGCAAGCGCAGCTTGTTTCCCGGGAAACCGGAGGACTTCAGTTAATGTGTAACCAGGGGCTAAATGCCAGTCCTGACTCCAGTGACCTGCTGAGTACTGACCTCTGCTTCAGGACTTGCTTTAGACAGCCAGCACCTACTGTGTGACACCTGCAGGCTGGCCTCCAGGGTAGGGACAGACGGAAGAGCGCTTGAACAATTCTTGCTGGGATCCCTTCCACTACATTCTCAAAGAAATCTAGACAGCATAAAATAAACAAGAAGAAAGGAGGCTTGTTTAGGGAGGCCTCTTTAGATACTTGATAAACAAAAGGAAATTAAATCAGCCCTGTGTGATGAACATTCTGCTGTTATCTTTGTGGGAAGATTGACACCATGGGAATCACGTCTAAGATTTGTCTTGGTTACTCCCACGTGTCCTCCGTGATTTAATTGATTCAGGGATCTTCATCTAGCTGAAGAAGTTCATTAAAAGAAAGCTACTTCGATGATGGCCAAGTTTAGTGGGTGAGCAACAGAGAGGCACAGAGGTTTCACCTGCTGAGGGTAACCTATGTGCCGGACCACACAAGGTTTTAAATGGTTTCTATATTCCTATTTCTTAGTCAGAACTCAACTCAAAAGTGGCCATACACCTTCCTCTGGCTAATGAAAGCAACAGAAGACTTTCATTTGGGAATTTAGGAGGCAGAATTTCGTTGTGGCATCCTTCAGTTCTGCTTTCTGTGTCGCTACGGCCTCTCCAAGGGAGTTTCTTATATAGTAACTTGAATGATTCTAGCACAGCTAAGTGCAAGACTTTATTACCCCGATGAAAGAGACTCATGCTGGGATTGAGTCCCAGGGCTCTGACCTGTGTATTTGCCCACTCCTTGGATGCTCTTATGGGATACCTTGCATGTAGTGGGTAAAGCGCAGAGGCATCCTTTAGTATGCAGACTGAGAATGGAAGAGATGTTTCCGAAAGCTGCCTGTTGGTAAAAGGGAAAATGATTCGGCATAGCTGTCGTAACCGACAACTACTGCAAAAGTGTAGTTATTGACGCTGTTGACAGGGAAGTCAGCTGAAGCGGAGGCAAAGGAGTGGGAAGCTGCTTCGCTGTAACTCGGTTGTAGGCGCGAGACTACTCCAAAGATAAAAGAACCACGGAGAGGATTTATACTAGTGCATCCTGCCAAAGAAAACTATTCTGAGCACCCCGAAAAGGAAGATATCTGATAACCACATTTTCTTCAAACGAAATGGGACAGAGATGGCTTTATGTGGATGTCAACACTGGGGAGCTTCATGACGATTCTGGAATGTACATCTCACAATGACTAACATTTTATGTGAACACAGGACTTAAAAACCCATAAACTCTAGACTGAACACTTGAGTATTATGTCTATTTTTCTTTTATCTCCTCAGTCTGACTCAGTGGAGACCGTCAATAATTTTTTTTTACCAAGTTAATGAGGTCAAATGGATGGCAGATAACCCAAATTTACTTTATTTTATAGTGAATTATACAGCCTAAGATACTGCAAAAATATTTTCCATGTTTATCAGTACCAGATAATTTTCTAAAATCTAAAATAGAAAGCAAAAAGCAATTTATATCCTACTTTTTATTATTACTGAGTCCAAAATATGTTCTTCACCATAATTTATCAGCTAATATTACATATTTTTACTTTATCAATGCATAAATGAAGTATCTTTACCAGAAACCGTTTTGAAGATATTGATGATTCATTAAAACCTTTGCTCTCCTAACATACTAGCACATCATAAGAAGAAATTAAGAGGCATATAATTCATCTGAGAACATGCAACCATTTTTCTTTGATATTGCAAATCAGATACTGTGCACACATTTTCTAAACTGCATGGCACTTTGATAGGGCTATGCATTATGGAACTGCTAAAGCAACCTGACTGAACTTTTCAGAGCCGTGATGTCTTTGAGAGACACTGTGATCAAGATACACTTTAGGGTATTTCTTGTGGCTTGGTCTCCAAAGCCTCTCCTCATCCTCTGCTCTTGGAGGATGCAGCCAATAAAGGCAAGGATGCTAACAGTCCTTACACACTAGAAAAGACTATAACCTCTAACATTACATAATCAGTCGGATTGGATATGCTCATTCCTGTCGTGACTTCTTCAAACCCTTAGGATCAGTGACTCACATACTCAGAAGTAGCATCTGGGTACATGTACATGCACACACACAGACATAGACACATACACTCAGACACCCATGGGAGGCAGTAGTAGGGGAGGAAAACTACACATTTTTCTTTAAACTGTAATAACCTCAAAATTCTTTGATTAAGGGTTTTGGTTATATGATATTCCTCTAGTTGTCTACACTGATCAATTTGATGTGTTGCCATTTGAAAGTGAGGAACATCTGTAACCACAATCATCCATTTTCCATTGTAACATAATTGCGTAGCATCTCTAAGAGGTTTCTTATTGCAAATTTTTATTTATATCACCTCTAGAACAAAATATCTCAAAGCATCACCTGGGTTGAGTTAATGAGGCTGGTGAGAGAAGCAGAATTAGTTTGTAGATTACACCTGGAGTATTCAGTACTGTGGGACCGTCATTAAGTTATAGCTTGTTTTAGCAGTGAATTGTAGTCTCAGAATGAACTTACACACTTCTAACATCAAATTCGGATGTTGGATCCTCATAGCCTAGCAACTGTTCAGCAAGCATCAGGTCCCACTGTTCCTGACATCTTTTAGGAGTTATCTCTCTTTTTAAAAATCATTGTACCATTTTATAAACCATGATTTTTTTAAGTCAGAACTTTTGAGAATCTGGTAAGGTTCATAAAATATGAATTGTAAATGTGAATAGGATATTTCATGTCAAATCACTCTTATTTGTAGACTGATAACCAGTGTTAAGGTTTAAGATTTGTAGTATCAATACCTAAATGATTCCTAGTTAAAAAATTCTGCATAGTTCACTTTTACTTAACTTTTCTCATGGACATTTCTCAAACAAATTAAAAAAAACAGCCATCTTATCTGTTGGTGGTAGATAATTATAAGTTCATAGTCACAACTGAGGGTATTTTTGACTTGATATTTTCATCCAGCTTATGAATTATTTTAAGAGCAAGTTTTTTATCTTATTGTTAAATCTTTACTAGTTTTCTCAAATCTAACATTCATGTAATTTGTAAAGCAAAATAATCATATGCATAAAATGTTTACATAACTATGAAGCAATCTGAATTATCTTACCCTAAAGACCATTTTCTGTACTGTTATGCAATACATACTACTGTTATTCAGCATGGCTACAGGATACAAGAACATTTTCACTTTCTATTACTTTGGACCACATAATTTCAATTTTTCCCTATATTTTAAGAACTTCCAAAGAAACACTGCCAAATTATAATTAAAATCATATCAGTATGATTATTCTATAAATGGTATCCATGCCTGAAATAAAACAGTTTATTTATGTTTTTCATTAATGTTTCCTGTTAAACTGTCCATTGTAATGGGAGTGAGATATTTTACCCTATCTTACCTCAAAATCATAGATCAAATGTTTATTGTTCAGGACTAGTGACTTTATGCTATAATGGTAGCTGATCATTTCTACTAAGACTTCCTCAGATAATGAAATCAATACAGGTTAAATGTTAGCAAAATGGTAGCAGGAGTATCATTTCATAATGCTAGCTTGGAGAAATAAGGAACGTTTTTTAATGACTGAACTTCATAATTTCTATTGTATTTCAAGAGTATATACTTGACTCACATATTCTTTTACAGATTCATTCATAATTGTGCACATATGTGAGTGCGGGTGCCTGACTCCTACTTTTGTCTTTACACGAATGTATATCCTTCCTGAACAGCTTTGATTGTACACGAGGCAAAATGAGAGCTTGCCAGATTTTCCTTTTAGGTGTATCTATTCTCAATCTAAACATACGGGATTAGACATAAATTCAATGTGTTCTAAATAGTAATCGCTTAACATGTAATCTATTTGAAGACTGGGCGCTTGTGTTAAGAATCCTTCAGGAAGTATTCTGAAAGAACCTCCTTGCCTCTCTCCCTTCCAGATCGGGGCACCGTGCAGAAGGTGGTGGTCCTGCCAAGCAACAGCTCTGCCAGTGGGGAGCTCATTCTGGAGGAGCTACAAGTCTTTAAGGTTTGTCCATGACTTCCCTCTGTTCATCTCAACACATGCGCGATGACATCATTCCTTTACTCCTCTAGCCAGCAAAAATATCCAATGAAAGATTAAATAAACAAATGCAGTAATTTTTTACGAGCAGAAAAGCATCAGATAAAAGGAGAAATAGAGAACAAATATTTTTGTGAAGTATTTTCTCATACTTCAAGTTGTCTTAACATAAAAGGCTATCATTTTTTCTTCCAACTGTCATCACAAGTCAAGGAAATTTGGTCGTCAATTATTTTTAATAGATGAGCTTCTATGGCCAAGGTCTTGAAGAGTTGTCATGTACGGGTTTTTGTCATTCCCGTCACAAACTACTGTAACCCGAATGCCTTCAGATTACTGATTGTAGATAAGCTTCCTCATATTTTTGCAACCAGTCATAAAAATAAAAATAAAATAAAAAAACTGCTGTTGTTTGATTGCTTTCCATTCAGATGCCACTCTGGTTAAATCAAACCAGTGTTCCTTCTTGGCACTTGAAGCTTTCTATCCTTACTTGAGATTTCACTATATTGTTCTTGTTGAATTGGGGTTAAAAAAAAAAAAAAGAAAGAAACAAAGAAAGAAAAAGAAAAACAAGAAAACAAAAGCAAAAGTACACACAGAATCTCCCTCTAAGGTCTCTGTCAGTCAGGACACAGGCCCAGAGTCCCTTTCCTCCTTCCTCCTTTTAGCTTGAGCCTGTTATGCTCTCTCCAGTCTGGTCTCCAGCTTGGGACCTTCCTACCTCAGTTTCCCAGTGCTCTGATTACAGAGCAGGCCACTAAGTTCAGCCACTATCTCCTCTAGTATCTGGGAACCAGCAGAACTGGTTTCCTGCCTTGCGGGTTTCTTAGCGGGGCTACTGCTGTTAAGCAAGTGTCCTTCTTACCTGCATTTGGAAACTGAAGGGATAGACAGCCAAAGAACTGCATGGAAACCTTGGCCTGGATTCAATCCTTTCGTCGACACTATTTACACTGCAGCCAATTAAGACTCCGCGCTCCTGGAACGCAGAGCTGGCCACTCCCTGATTTTACTCAGTGGCACCTCAGACCTCCCAGAACCAGACAGAACATCTCTGTTGCAGTTAGCTGTCTTGCTTAGCTGACCTGACTTGGAATGTATTGACTCATTAATACCATTATTGCGGTTACTAAGACCATTGGTTTCATAAGCATTTAATTGCTTAAGATACAACTCGGTTCGATTTCATTATTAAAATTTTAAATTAAAGAATGTAACAAAGAATGGAATCTAATATAAGTCAGAGGCACACCAGCTCCTTTGCAGTGTGCTATTAAGTTTATCACTTTAAATATTTGATTCTAATTTGCGCTAGGTTCTTTATGACTAGCACATTAAAATTACGCCCATCAGGTAAATGTTTTACATCTTTGGCTTTGTAAAGAAGCTGAAGGCTTCACTGTATTAACTAAAATTGTAGTACACATTATGCCTTTTTTTTCTCATGCAACCAACTAGGAATAGATTGGTAATTCCTGAAGATGACAAAAAGTTACATAGTGCAAACACCTCATTTTTTAATACTGAAGTATCTTTTTGGTTATCGGGCAATGTTTAATGAAGTGAGTTTGACACGAGTCTAAACATGTGTGCTATGGAAGAGCCGTAAAGACATGTACATTATTCTGATCAAGGAAGAACTATGTAGGAGCTGTTATATGATGTCCTCTGTGGTTAGCCTCAAGGGGAGGAAACTCTCCAGGAAAATACACAGACAGTCACAATGCATGTAGGAGACATCACTGTAAAAGGTGTTGGAACTTCCTTACTGATGCCTGTGTGGTTTTCTGATCGAGCAGAGTCAAAAGACGCTCTTGGCACATGCAGGGACTCTCTTTGGCATGTGTTTGTGTCTCATTTCTGAGATGAGGTAAAAGTAATTGAGTGTGCGTGATATATTGCTATGGTCATGAAAGGAAATAATGGATTTATGTAGGAAAAAAGTTCCCTAATTACATAGCATATAGAATGCTGTAGATGTATTAGTGTAACTTTTGAAAGGATAGGCAGCGTTACTACACAGCACAGAAGTGTAACGTCTTTCTTTAATCCTACAGTCATGTATGCTGAGTGTCTAGTTTCTGAAAGCTTACAGTGAACTCAGATACAACTCTACTAGTGGATTTGTCATATCCATCGCCCGTGTACGTGTGTGTGCTAAAAAAGGATAACAAAAATTGTTGCCACTGAGAATTACTGATGTTACCTTTTATTTCATCATAAATGTTTACAAACCTATACAATCCAAGAAAAAAAAAGCTATAGTGTTGGGAATAATTTAATTTCAGAGTTTGCCTCTGCTTAAATCATCTAAGTCTTCGTGAATCACCATCGGGTCATCAGAAATTTAACTTTAAGTTTAAAACTAATTGATAATAGTTAGGATGTAAAGTTATCGAGTGGCCTTCAGAAAAATTATCTTTGCCGTGTACAAAACATTACCTTCACAGTGCAGAAAATATACCATCTCAGAGACCAGAGATTTTAGATGCTTGAACAACTGATTCTACAATTGCATATTTTATAATTATTATAACTGATTTTATAAATTCACAATAAAGAGGTCTTTCTGTCTGTGTATGAGTTTGTTGTACCAGTGAAAACTCAATAGCATAGTTCAGTCATATACATTTTAAACAATCCTTGTCAGGAGCCGAATTCCAGAAGTCTGTGTTGTGAAGTTTCCCCTATCACTGCCGCCCACCTACACACCCAGATCCAACCCTCAACTCAATGTCCCAAATACTTCTTTCAATTATCTCACTTGGCAGTGCATCTTAAGGCCTTTTGTGTTAAGCGTCTGATAAAGTCATTCCTTCTCTCAGGTTCAAACACCTGTTAGTGTGTTGAAAGTCCAGTCTTAGCCCCAAAGAAGAAAGGAACTTTACAGAGAGATCATGAACTAAGAGAAAAATATGGCATTTTGAATTTTTTTTACGAAACTTGAGTTTTTACATTCAAAATTGCTTTTCAGATCATATGAGCAACTAATATACATTTTCTAATCTTTTAGAACCATGTTCCCATAACAACAATGAAAATTTCATCTAAGAAGGTAAGAACTAGGCCATTTGTTTATGTTCTATGCATGACAAAATGTCTAACTAACAGGAAGATATGTTTTTTAACTTCTGAAAAACTAATTCTATTGATAATTAATCAATAACTATTGATAATCATACAGAATCATTTCTATTTTGATATAGTTCTCATTATCTATTAGTGAAAATGGAATAGGTGTGTTTTGCAAAATTTAATGAAAGAAGACCATATATGCTGAAGGTATTCCAGAGTATTGTATTTGTCATACCCTCAACTATTATGGCATATGAGATTCACTATAATAAAAATTAGCATTCTAAAAATAGAACTTAACATAAAGCTTGGGCTATTTTAGATCAAGGCTTTCCTGCCAGCGAGAAGGAGTGATCTGCCCACTTCTGCTTTCCTGATACCGTCATATCTTTGAAGTAATTATGCAATGCTATATCCTAGGATTTATGCATATATCTACAAAACCCTTAATATAACACTATCTATGCATTTGAGGAAGGACTGAGTGCTGGCAATCAACAAGAGCTAGCTAATCTATGTTTTCCTGAACATGAAAATACTCAAAGATCATGGGCAGTTGACGACAATTTTAGTTTTTCTGTGCCTGTGATGTACCCTGTTCCAATTCCCATAGGTAGTGTCTTAAACCAAAGCCCTAAGAGTGACCTCCCTAGAGTCAGATTGAGTCAGTTTCGCATGCATTTGAATCTCCACTTGACTGTAAATTACTGGCAAGTTGTTTAACTTCCCTGACCTAAGCTTCTACATCTAGAGAGCAATGTCTTTCTCACAAATGGTGGATGTGAGCTGCCTAGGATAAAATGGGACGAGTTCGTGCTGTCTGTAAGAACCTTGGATTCTATTTTTCTTGGAATAGAGACCAAAGACTTTAGATGCTTGAGCAGCTGATTTTCTAATTGCTGTGCTCTTAGCCATAGCCGAAGTTCTAGAGAGACATGATGTGGTACTCGTAGTCAGTCTGGTGCTCTTTGCACTTGGCCAAATTTTATGAGAACAAATAAATATGACATAATGGAGTTAACGATCTCATCTGTGAAAATGTTTGCATGGAGCATAGCAAACATTTTCCCAAGTAGCAAGAAGTCATTCGTCATTTGGCTAATGTCCTATGGAGCTGATCTCAAGTCTGAATTGTCTTTGAAGCCAGCAGGGAGGCCTTTTGTTTACGATGACTTGGTGGAAAGAGGCAATGTAGAAGCGAGATTCAAAATCTTCACAGTCATTTTTGTGTCATAGTAGTCATATATAAAAGGTATCCTTGACATATTTATAGGTCATATGTTACACTGGTGCTCAACATCTCACGCTGCAGATAGGTGAATGTGTTTCAGTGGACAGTGAGCCTCACAGCTGGGGTAGTGACTTGATGTCCTGGAACACTGGCTTCACGGAAAATTTCACTGTACTCTGCGGTGGGAAGATTACAGTTTGTGAAAGAGTTTAAATATCATGAATGTGATACCTTTCCTAGTACTCAAATTGCTCATCCATCTTTAACCTTTTTTTCCTATTAATTTACTCTTGTACCCAATTTCAAAAATATATTGACATTACTAATAATTAAATTATCTGGAGTAGAACTGCCTTTTTACCTTTTTTCTCGAATAAACTAGCATTCTTAAAATACTTTCAATTAAATGGACACTGTCCCTTGCCTGCACGCTTCAGATAGATATTTAGTTATTCAATAAACGCTTCCTGGGACCTGAACCTCAGGGCCTTCTGCACAGCAGCCATGTTCTCCCACTGACTTCCATCCCCAGCCTCCTTTTCCAACTTTCATTTTGTGACAAAGTTTTAGCAAGTGGTCAGTGTGGGCCGGCGAAGTCACTCTAGCCCAGGCAAGCCTTGAGCTTGTCACTCTCCTGCTTTAGCCTCCCAAGAAACTGGATTTACAGATCTGTGCCACAGGGCCTGGTGGCAAGCGTTTACATCCAGTGCTCTTTAGGGAAGGATAACTGACAAAATATAGACCACAACATTGTTTGGAAAGTATTTAAATGTCTATATCGTAATCAATCAATTTCAGATAATTTCTTAAAATTCGATTGACATGAATAAAGTAGCTATATAAGACATAATAGACTGAGATATGATTCATGTTATTGAAACTGAAACTTACAAATTAGTAGTTTTTATTAATATTTTAATCCACTGTTGTAATTAATTCATATTCATTGTCAGTTCTTTTCCTAGTATGTATTCTGGGAATTTTATAGCTTTGGGGCATTTGGGTCTTAGAAGAATAAGACAGCATAAGTTTTACTACGTTATATAAAATTTTCAAATAATTAAAAAGTAATCGATTTTTAAAAGCATCGGAATGATTTACAAATTATGCAGAGGGCGAACTCTATTTTTGACTTTGTAAGGGTAATGAAGATGGGTAGACAATGAAGAAATTTTGAGGCGTGCTTAAATGTAAACAACTCCTACATTTGGGCTGATGAGATGGCCTAGTGACTAAGAATACTTGCCAGTCGACAATGTGGACCTGAGCTTGCATCCCAGCATCCACATTAAATAGAAAGAGGGGTCGTGAGCATTGCTGTAGCACAGAGGGAGGAGGAGGAACACTGGGGCTTGCTAGATGACAGCGCATCTCCGAGTTCAGTAACTTACTCAAAGGAATATGGCAGACGGGGATAGAACAGAATGACCAGTGTCCTCCTTTCCACGTGCACGAACGAGCACACAGGTGCACACAGAGGTGCATATGACACAAGCACACATATACAAGCCTAGATTCACATTTACATAAAAAATAAACATTGGATTATTCATTTTTTTATATACTCTTAACATAGCTTTAATAAGTAATACGTAACTTTCAAAGTCACGTAGTCAACTGCTTTCACTTTCAGTGTGACTGATTAGTACTTTTTCTTCGAAACAAAATGTCTTCTATTTCGAAATTAATGTGTTTTAATGTAAAAAACTTGAAAGCTTGCTATTTGCTAAGGACGGTTTCTTCGAAACAAAATGTCCTCTATTCCAAAACTAATGTGTGCTGCTGTACTTGACAACCATGAAAGCTGGCCGTTTGCTGAGAGACAGAAGTCAAAGGAAAGAGAGAACATCATAATTTAAGTAAGCAATATATTAGCTCAAATCTGAGAGAACAAGGAATCCCAGTGTTTAAAGCGGATTAGCTTCTCTATGGTGCACTGGGAGGTGCGATACTTAGTAGAAAGTGGTGATGTTATAGGCATACTCACGGGAGGAAAGGTCTACTTATTTTAGCTCCATACCCTCTTTGTTTCCTGTTTTGAGTGTTTCTAAATAAATCCATGGGTTTGTGGCCCTATATTATAATGCGCTCCTGCTGAAAGTCTTTAAATTTCCGCATCTGAACTAAATCATCGTAACTCTCCTTATAGCAACAGTTGTATGTGAGCTCCAACGAGGGGGTTTCCCAGTTGTCCCTGCATCGCTGCCACATCTATGGCACAGCCTGTGCCGACTGCTGCCTGGCTAGGGACCCCTACTGTGCCTGGGACGGCCACTCCTGCTCCAGATTCTACCCCACGGGAAAGCGGTGAGTACCAAGCGTCCACGTGAAAACCCAAAGAAACCTCTCAGGGCAGTGCAGATGGGGATCAGTACTGTGGCTGTTTTCATTTACAAAGACAATGCAAAATGCAGCCATGTGGAGCACTACGCACTACAAAAAGCCTTTCAGGAAAGAAGATGTCGTACTTCATGACTTCAGCTTTTGCATTCTTCCTCTTCATGGAGAACTTATGCTCTCGTACCCATCAATGCATTAGGCAGCGTTTAACTCTGTTTTCGTGCTAGCTGATGTGTGTCTCTTTGGTGTCACTATAGGTTGAACCCCACACTGGTAGGTGTGGCTGCATTGCTTCATTATAATAGAGATTTTTGTCGTTCATGTAATTAACCAAAAAAGAGATGAATTTCAAAAGTTAGAATTTTGAATAGAACTACCTGTATCATTCTTGCCACAAGAACATTGTTCTAGGAAAGATATCCACCCGGCTTGCTTTGAAAACCTAGCTGAACATGCTCCTTCCTGTTTGGGCAGTGACAGCATGGTCACTAGATAGGATAAGCAGTCTAAGTAAGGATACCTTTATCCAAGAAAAGTTCAAAGTAAGCGGGAGCACTGGTGAGATAGCGGAGAATCTGCAGAACTTGAATCAAATGAACTCCTAGACATTTCAATAAATACTGAAGTATAGGTTTTGATGGATGAGAGCACCAAAACCTGTTTAGAATTATAATCAGTGGAGAAAGCAAATGACTCCAGTCTTAAGAACCAATGAACTGTCCAGGAAAGCATTGGGTGATTTTTAAAAAATTTTATTGTGTTATATTTGTATCACATAATAAATTTGTATTATATTATTTTTGTAAATTTAATATATTTTGATCATATTCTTCTTCTCTTTCAAGACCTTTCAGATTTTCTCTCCTTCGCTACCCATCCAACTTTAAGTTCTTTCTAAAAACACAAAACCTCAATACAACAACAAAACCAAGAGAAAAAAAAATAACACTCCAAAAGAGAAAACAACATACAAAGAAACAAAACATTGCAACCAAATAAAAGCACACACAGAAATCTTTGGAGTTTTTTATAGATGGATTTTAAAATTTACAAGACCCATGCCATTGCATTTTTGTAAGTCAGTCATGACCCCCTCTGTCTGTTAATTCAAGAAATATTTATCTTGAAACAAAAACTTTTCAGGCATTGTAGAAAATAGGTTAAAAAAAACATGAACAACAACAATAAAAGACAAAAATCTGTGTTCAGGTATAACATGTTCTGAAAAGACAGACAACACAATGAAGCCCATGAACATGGGAAGTCATCATATGGTGTCTGGGTGTGAGAGTGGAAAGGGCGTTACATACATGGGAAACAGCATGTGAAAGCTTGAACAGAGGACCATAGAGGGCCGTGGTGGGGACAGAGAGTGAACCAGGCGAAAAGTGTGAAAAGGGTAGCGCTAAGGTATCCTCTGGGGGAACAGGTGCAGGGGAACACCGAAGAGAAAACACGAAGCTCATGCTTGCTGACACTTGGAAGCCTATGAAAGGAGAAGGAAGGTTAGAAAGAAGGAAGTTTCCAATGCCAGGTGAGGGAGGACTTTATCAGTAATTTATCGCCACTCAATTCCTGTGCTTGTTTAGACTGGAAGTTATCTGACTCTTAGTTCTAAAAGGTCACTAGCTGGATGTTGTTGTTATTGGAGCATTGGCATTGGAAGCAGTTGGAACAAGTAGGAGGGCAAAGGATACAGAGTGGGGTTATAATCTTGGTCATATAAGGGACCTGTCCAATACTCTGTGAAGTATTAAGTGTGGGAGCATGGAGAAGTAGAGGAGGAAAACAATTACCAAGTTCTTAAAACAAAGGCACTAGGAAACATATGAGCATCATTGTCTGAGAGTGATCCCTACAGAAGGAGCCTGTGTGAGGGAGAAAGAAGACATTAAACTTAGCGTGTCCGTGAGACACTCCAGCCAGGGTGTTGAGTGGAGAGAGAAATGTGTGCCTGGAGTAGAGTGGAACGGTCTGAGCTGGACCCCCCTTCTTTACAAACACTAGGTGTGAGGAGGACTCCCAGGCTTTGAACCAGGAGTTTTAGGTCTATGCACAAAGGCTCAATAGTTTCCCACATGTGTCAGAGGAGTTGGGGAGGAGCTCCTTCCCTTCGGTCCATTTCCCTTCACATTTAGATGCTTGTCCCCATGCAATTCTTTGTATTTTCACTGACTGAAGAGTTAAGAACCTGGACACAGAGGGTGAGGGGTGCAAATTTCAACCATGATCTCAAATAAACTTTATTTTTGTAGCTACTATTGGATTTTTCAGAAGTGTTTGTCACATATTTGCAAATGTATTAAAAATAGTGTTTTGAAAGTGTTCCCAACAGCTAAATATTTGCCAAACAATACATTTTCCCCCGTAGAAGCTCTAGAGTTAAGTATGGCGTCTCCAACACCAGGGTTACAGTCTTTGGTCTCTTAACCAGGTCTGGTGCTGAGCAAAGCTGGCTCATGTCACTTTCTACGGAGCAAAGTGAAGTGGGGATTAGAAATTGAACAGCATAACATCCTACAGATAAATCAGTCCTTGTTTGTAATGTGTAAGAATGGAGGAGCAGAACCCCTTCCTTGCAAAGACTTTATCTGAGGCTGATGGAAACTTTTAATTTCACAGAAGCAATGCTTTTCCAGGAAAATATCCCTCCTTGTGTGGAGTACCATTGCATGTTTGAGGTTCAGTTTACATTTTAGAGGTCTTTGAGTACGGTCACATACCACCTCACCTGTTATGCATCCTGTTACATTTTTAAGATTTAGACTGAAACACGGGTTACACAGTGCCATCATTAACACCAGAAACCATGAATTTAGTCATGCTCTTTCTACACAAAGTCTTGACACTACCTTGCATTTGCTCGCTCTTCCAATATCATGTCTCGTATTAAAACATGCGTGCAAGTCGGAAAAGCAGTGTATCAGCTCTTTAAATAACTGCTTTGACTACTATACCAGTGTCTTAATTTTACCATGAGGACTTATAAAATACAGCATACACACACATACATCCCCTCCTTCCCCTACCCCCACACAAAGTGGATGAGCTTACCCATATTTTATTTTGGCTAGGGCAATAGAAGTTTCACTATAAATATCTATACTGTTTAGATATTCCAAATTATTTCCAACTCAGACACACTGTGAAGAATGTAAAATGTGTTTGCAGAATGAATTGATATAGTTTTTCTATTTATTTTCTATAGGGACTGAAGGGTAATGGTGGAAAAGAAAAGATCGTTTGTTTTCAGCATTCACTTTTTTACTAGTACTATCTTATTTGGCTTTATTTTCCTTTAATTACCTGTCTGTAACAAATACAGCATTCGATTAATTCATTGTAATTAAAGCAAAAATATACCCTTTGTATGGAAGCAGAGAGGAAGAGTCACACCCAGAAAACAGTTGAATCCATACACTCACATAACATTAAATACCGAATCAATAGTGCCTTTATTTTTCAACAACTTGGTATAAAGTAAGCAATCTACGCTTTTTCTCACCACTTTGAAGTATCTGAAATGGTTGTGTGTATCAATACCGCAATGCAGCTTCTGATATTACTCATCCTGAATTAAGGCAGATAGTTGGAAAATGGAAGATGGGATAATCAGTTCAAGCTTTCTAAACCCCCTTTCTGTGAAAGTAGAAAATGATTTCATTGTTTATCCAGAAGAACTGAGAATAATGATGAAATGTCAGCGAAGCCAGCCAAGGCTAAATCCTACATGTAATGTAATATCGCGCTGCCCACCAGCATAGCTCTGTTATGCCCCAGGAATGCGTTCAAGGAAACTGACATGTACCAAAGGCTGATCTCATCATTTTTTTTTTTAAAAAAAAAGCTATAGCAAGGTTTTCTATTTGAATGTCTGCAATTTGATGTGGCAACTTCACTTTGCCTAGCTTGGGAGGTTCTATATTTTGTACAAGTAACACCCCATCATGCTGACTACAGGACAGCAAATTTAGACATTGTAAAGACATTGAGTGTCTAGAAGGCTGAAAGTGACCAGCTCCAGCCTAAGAACACTCACGAAGTGCTGTTTTTATACATTGCCAGGATTAACAGTAGGAAATAGTGCCAATCCATAGCAGTAAAAGTGTGAACCTGGAGCTGGTCTAGAATAGGACACTGATCAGAATTCCTTACACGAGAGTGACTGGTACTTCCTCTGCCTTGTGTATGTGACACTATACGTATATAAAGTCGAATGGCACAATTTATATACCAACATTTCTATAAATGTATTTGGTAACATAAAGTATTAACCACTTCAGATAATTTTTCAATGAAATTAAGTCATGAGTGACTTTGAGATTAATGTTGTTTTGTATGTTTAATAACCACGGTGTGCCTTTTTATTTCTGTTTGTTTTGATCAATATTTCATCATCAGGATAAAATATTAGGACTTAACACTTATTCCAATGAAATAGTATTCTCATTATTTAGCTGTGTGTTTCCAGAATTTAAAGTCAGTGTCCACGTTACTTTTAGTGGTTGCTGCATGTATTCAACTACTCTCTTCTGGGTCACTCCTCTCCATTATGAAGTTAATATTAAGAGAACTGAACCTTCATGAACCTGAGACTCAAGAAGTGAAATCATTAATGAGTAAATACTGTAAAGTTTTATGTAACTAACTTTCAGTTTACAAAGGTTATACATTTTTTGAAATGCTTTTTTCATTACAATATTCCAATTAAGAATCTATTTGACTAGGAGATGAGTATGCCTTTTAAAAATCTTTTAGTAAGTATTGTGGAGGAATGAGAAACTGTTATATCCCATAAACTCAAACTCAATGATGCTATTAAACAAATATCAACATTATCAACACATTAATATTGTTGTCAATAGGGTCAGGCAGCATATCTGTATCTCACTTTCTAAAAGTTTTCTTATATGACTAAATAGCAGTAAATATACTATTATGCATATATTATATACATATACATAAATGAAAGAAAATGTAGTAACTATAGAAAAAAGTACATATAAACATCTTAGAATTCACTGTATGCATATACTCATTATTGAAAACTGAAAATCTTTTAAGTACAGGTTTATTTCCTTTGTATTCAGCAATCCTATTTATGTTTCACAAAAGCTTAAAACATCCGCAGAGTACTTTCTTTTAAACAAAACTTTTAAAAGAAGAAAAAAAGTTGTTGTGTTTACCATTCAGCAGTTTTTGTTTTAGTGCATTTTGGGTCACCATCTATGAAATAAAATTTGGTACAGTTACTTAGACAATCCAGTATCCACGTGGGAGTGATGTATACTAACAACTTTGTGATTGTCCCATCCCAGATGATAGATAGAGGAGGCCCCACTACATCTAGAAAGAGAATGGGTTCCACCTGTCACTCACGCACCGTGCATGGTCAGCGAGCTGTGTGAGATAATGAGACTTCCTCGCTGTGTTCTAAATTAAAGCTTGGGCAATCAAGAGGCCGCAAAGATTAAAACTGGGTGCATTTAATGCAGTATAATTGTCGGTAATGCTCATCCCTTCAACATTTTCCTGCACTTACAGGAGGAGCCGAAGACAAGACGTGAGACACGGGAATCCGCTGACGCAATGCAGAGGGTTCAATCTGAAAGGTATTCGAAGGGGGCAGGTGGTAACCATGGTGAAGGGTAGCGTCATTCTGCCTCCCGTTGAGTAAGGGCCTCCGCTCAAGTCATTCACTTGAGAACACGGCATCAGGAGTGTGTAAAGTGTTTGTGAGTGGTAATCAGGCACAAGTGCAGTCTGTGTCACACCAATAGTCACTCTGGAGAACACACAAAATCAAGTGCTCTGGAGTTCCTGGCAGCCAGGGTCTCTCCCACAACTGGCAAACACAGATTCTCTTAGATACTTACTTCTTTCCGAAGCAAAGGTTTTACTTTTAAAATCGGCTAACAAGTAACACAATAAAGACTATTTTACTGAAGAAAATATACATAAGAAACTATTTATGATTTTAATTAATTTGAACCATAGACCTCCGTACTGTTTAGAACATTCACACTGTGGGACCATCTGCCAGGTGTCTTAGGATGCTTACTGTCTTCCCAAACATAATCAGTGCATTTATTAAATATTTACTAAGCATCCCCTTCCCCTAGTGCCTGCCAGTAGCCATACTACTTTCTTTAGAGTTTGTCGAATCTAGACATTCGATGTGGTGGGATCACACAGGATCTGTGATGATATCTATGCCTAGTTCTTTACATGTTTTCAGAGTCTCTTTACTCCTTAACCTGGATATGATTTTTTTCCTATTTATAAAATTCATTATATATATCATTATAATTCATACATATATATCTATATATCACATTTTGTGTATTTATTCATCCTTTTGTGGAGACATGTACTGCTCCCAGTATTACAGATGCAGAGAGTAATCTTTCACAGATCCAGGTTGAGACTCAGCTGCAGGTCTGCTCCTTTTACAGTTAACCCAAGCCCTTTCTCTTTGTTCTGACAAAGAGATGCCGTGTTGTTAAACTTTATGGAACCCTTCCCTTCTCTCCACTTCAGACAGCTTTCTCCTGACTCACCTGGTGCTGCAGGTTTATTATTTTAAAGATAAAACAGACTGAAATGAAGAGCAACCCCAGCATTCAGGTCTACGAAGCAGCAGGCCCTGAGTTCTATATACCTAGGCTGGAGACTAACCTTACACTTAGCAGCCACCTGAGCCTGGGCCTTCATTTAGTACAGCAGGACATTCCTGTTCCTTATTATGGTAACTCCAAGTTAGGTCATCTAATTTAGAGAATTCACCCACTTTGCCATTTGCTATTCGTGGAGCATTTTCATAAACATTGTGTCAGCTCCTGTTTAACATGCCCCTCGTCACAGAGCTGAGACCAGTCACATGAGCTAACATCGAATATCTGTGCGGATTTTAGGTCTCAGCCTCGGCTCAGGTTCTTTCTTGTGATGACCTCATCCATTTTTCAAAACCTGTAACGACATTGATTTCTCTCACTGATCTCTGAATAAAGCTTTCTGTTCCTGTGTTTAACCTCTGTCTGATTTCACCAGTGTTTCATTTACCATAAATTTTTTATTAAAAGTTTAAACATATTGTAATCTGTGCTTTAGAGACGAATAGAGGAACACAGAGATGGTTTAAGTAACTTGTCTCATGTTACACTGCCGATAATTTACACCATGTTCCTTTTTCTCCAAAGCCTGGCTTTTCAATCATTGTACCATAATGGATATCCCATGCTGTCAGTGTGAGCTTCTTCCATTCCACACTGAGTATGATTTCATGGATGCCATAAACCGAGCTCCCATTTTGTCTGGTTCTTCACACTTCACTTATGGAGTGTTCCTTCATATATTACACATACTATATATGTACAGATAACATACATACTATGGTATGTTTCTTCTTGACTCATGGTCTCACTTTGTGCAATTGAGAAAATCTAATTTAAAAAAGCTGTTTTAATTATTAGATAATTAAAGCTGTTACAATCCTCAGTGCAGACTAATAAATGTGCACCAACACTACCTTAGATGACTTTTAGTGTCTCTTTTACTTTGCATTTAAATAAAATGTCTAGACCCGTAAATTTTACTTACTACTATATGGTGACAGCCATCCTGAACACAATTTTACAGGGGGAAATGTTCACATGGAGGAGTAACCTCTAACGTCTGTTCTCTCATCCCTCTGATTTCTGCTTTTCAGCATACAGAAACGCCGCCGAAATCGTTCAGTACGGAGTCCGAAATAACAGCACTTTCCTTGAGTGTGCCCCAAAGTCTCCGCAGGCATCTGTCAAGTGGCTGCTGCAGAAAGATAAAGACAGGAGGAAGGAGGTGAGTGGCCTGCCCCCACCTCCCCAGCCATCCATCAGAACTCTGGGAGTAGCGCTAATTCAGCATTCCTTAGGGAGGCACAGAGACACTGTGAAGTAAAGACAAAGAAACATCCTTTTACGTCAGGCACATTGCCACTGCCATCTTCCTTCCAGTCCTTTGTCCTTAGATTTGAAGGATTAGTTAGAAATCCCTGCTCCCAGCCACCTCGGTAGTCTCAGAGTTTGTAACATGAACTCAGGAGCTAGGACGGAGTAATGATGTAAGGAGGGACTTGTGTAAGATGTGTGCGATTCCAGAAGCTAAGACGGCATACAACAGCACCTTTGTGTGACTCCCGAGATAAAAGGAGCTTGAAAATGTTCCGTTTTCCTCAGCAAGAAATTATGCTGAACTATGACCCTTTGTAGCAAAGAACATTTTTCTGTGGTGTGATCATGTTTCTATCGTATTAGCATTCATGACCCTTATAAGTCACTCAGGTAATTTATGCAATCATTGTTTATGAAAAACCACTGGTTTATTTATTATTAAGGAAAAGGACCCCTGGACTAGCAAATATGTACACATATATTCTTACTCTAAATCTTTATTGATTAAAAGAACTATTTGAAAAGAATGGCAGATTGGCATTGTCAAGATTGTAAATCTGTACATATTGTAAATACTGAATTCCATGATGTTGATGTCACACTGTCCTGACTCTTGAGTTGAAAAAAAAAATTACACACACATAAATACAGCTCCTAATTCTAAAATGTCATGTTGCTACTCTACCATCAATCTCAATGGAGCCGACCAGAAATTGGCTGCACTCCTGCATGTGTGTGGGTTCTATTGGAGGTGATTTTGTTTCTGTAGTGTTAATCAAGCTACACAAATACACACAACACAGACACATATTGACTGACTCAAGATTACACATTTTTAACCTAAATACAATCTTAGGTTTGGATTTTCTTCACAATGAAATGCGCTTTTGGACAGAACTTTGATAATGTGAAAATATTCACATGCATTATCTTTATTGATTTTGGTCCTATTTTTGTTTTTATTCGAAGAGAGATCATCCAGATTGCAAATGTCAGGAGACTTCCCACTCTTGGATTTGCAATCTCTTCCTTGATAATACAATAATAGCTATGATTGTAAAGCAATTACTAGTAATGCAAATGAATCTCATGTGTGAAGCCAATACACAGCAAGTGGTCATTTCCTATAATAATCCCTACAGTGGATTATAATATTACCACAGTTTTTATTACCTTGTTGAAATAAATTCTCTTGAAAGTCTTATAAGGTAACGACCTCACAACTTAGTTTTAAACATCTCATAGTGTGATAATTATTGTATTTTTAAATCTCATAAAAAGGATATAACCAAAAGTGAGCACATTCGTCTGATGCATTTTTTCCTGTTCATTTATTCTTCTCTCATATGATACATTCTGACTGCACTTTCCCCTCCCTTCACTCCTCCGAGTCACCCCCTCCCTCCTATCTCTCCCAGATCCACAGGGCTCCTGCATGTCTCTTCAGAAAAGACCAGACTTTCCAGGGCTGTCAACTGCACATAGCACAAAAAGATGCAGTAAGAATAGGCACAAATCCTTATATCAACACTGGAGAAGAGAACCCAGTAGGAAGAAAAGGGTTCCAAAAGCAGGGAACAGTATCAGATATACCCCTGCTTACACTGTTAGGAGCTTCACAAAATCCCTAAGAGAGACAAGGACAACGTATATGCAGAGGATCCATGTAGGATCTGTGATTGCCTCGGCCTACTTTCTTACAGCATCCTAGACCACCAGCCCAAGAATGGTTCCACCCACAGTGGGAGGGCTCACCCCTGCCAGTCATAAATTAAGAGAAGGACCTATAGCAGGATCTTATGGAGGCAATTTCTCAATTGAGACATGAGGCATCTTCTGAGACATCTTCTCAAAGTCTCCTTTCAGATAACTTTAGCGTGTGTCAAGTTGATAGAAAGCTGGCCAGCACAGGAACCCCCTTCAGATTTTCTTATGTGGATGATACTTTCAATATCTCTTTTAGTTAGTTCAGGAGACAGTACTGCACATTGTAGACAGAAGGGTGGGTGTAAGCAGTGGAACTAACCATAAATGTGCACTCTGAGACTGAAGAGCCTCAATGCTTTTGCCTAGTTGTGAAAGTCAACTATTTTTTATATCTATGAAGTGTATTGTTTTAGAAATTGTCGTCTTCTCATTGGGACATTCATGGTGTTTCTCTCTTAGGTTAAACTCAATGAGCGCATTATAGCCACTTCCCAAGGCCTGCTGATTCGCTCTGTTCAGGATTCAGACCAAGGGCTGTATCACTGCATCGCCACAGAGAACGGTTTCAAGCAGACCATAGCCAAGATTAACTTCAAAGTCTTAGATTCGGAAATGGTGGCCGTTGTGACAGACAAGTGGTCCCCATGGACTTGGGCAGGCTCCGTGAGGGCTCTCCCCTTCCATCCGAAGGACATCCTGGGGGCATTCAGCCACTCGGAAATGCAGCTCATCAACCAGTACTGCAAAGACACCCGGCAGCAACATCAGCAGCTGGGAGAGGAACCGCAGAAGATGAGGGGGGACTACGGCAAGCTGAAGGCGCTCATCAACAGCAGGAAGAGCAGGAACAGAAGGAATCAGCTTCCAGAGTCATAGACATTCATCGGTGGAGCTGTGCTTTCCATAACAAATGCTCTGTCTTCGTTGGTCAACTACTGAGCAAAGTCTCGAGCTTTCCCCATGAGAAATTACCGACAAAAGCGGGAGACTCGCTCTCGAGTGCGTTCTCTGTGAACTTAAACGAGCATGCATCTTCTTGTATGATACAGACTAGCACTAGACATGTCATGGTCCTCATGGTGCACAGAAATATTTAACTTATCCCAGATTTTATTTATATCTTTATGTGTCTTTTCTTCAACTTCAATGCAGCAACAGAAGCAGAACTGTTACACCCTCGGTTAAGCGAGGGCCATAAATTACCCTGGGCTGTTACTTCCCCGCCCTAGGGGTTCGGCTTTGTTAGTTGTCGGTGGTTTTTATACACAAAAGCGAATTCCAGTTCACAATTTTCACATAGTAAATGTCCTATAAATGCACGTGACAGAATAATCATCCAAAAAAGTCATGTAGGTTAGACAAATGGCGGAGAAGAGAGCATCCAGATGTTATTTAAAAACAAGAGTGACTCATAAAAAGAACATGATGAGTTCATATGCTTCCAGTGGGTTCTGTTCTTGCTTGTCCCTTTGTTTAAGCTTGTAATATGTGCCAGCTGCTGAGATCTTCCATCAGTCTTTGTTCCCTTGGGTCAGGAAGATAAAATGAATAACCTGTGCCATCCAGGCCTTTGATGGGAAACGTATCAGTGAGGCATCAGCATTTCTACTGTTATGTTACCATCTTCCAAACAAAAGCACTTTGGGTTTTCTTTGGAAGTTATTTAAGTTATTATAGACTTGTATATGCTCTTACGTTATTTAACTGATTTACTGCTTGATTTTAATTTCCTCGTCCACTTGGCAAATTAAGCAAAACAAGGAGAAAACATTGTGGAAACATCCGACATCTCCACGCAGAGTGAAGCTATCAGAATGCTTGGATTGTTTTATGAGAAAACGACACTAAAAATATTTTCTCCACTTTAAAAACGAAATGGATAAATTATGGGAAATTTCCTCATACTTCTTTTAATGATAGAACTTATATTTTTCAAAGAAAAATCAATTTTGATACAGGTTTAAATACATGCTTAAATTTCCAGAAAGAAAGAGAAATGATACCAAACACGATTGAAACACACTTCTTATAAACAGTTCATAAAGAAGGTAATAAAAGGGGATCAGCTCTTTTTTGAGTATTGTGAACAAAACATGGGGAAGGAAATCATGTGTAGGGAGGGGTGTAAGTCGGTGGTAGGTTGTAGGTTACACGTTTAGCGTGCACAAGAACCAGGGTTCTAACACAAGGAAATGAAGAAAGGTAGGGAAGAGGAAAATCAGAGCGGTCAGAGGGAAAGACAGACACAAAAGAAGGAAGATCAGAGGGGAAGAAAAAGGAAGGGAAAGATGGAGGGATTGCACTCATTATCAGAAGATAAAGATGCGTTTAGTTAAGAGATGGTAAACTTTGGTGTTCTAAGAGGCACCTCAATGGTGTGAAAAACAGCAGTTTAGAGAGCATAAATGTCATCCAATTCTGTTTTCAAACTGTTGTTCCAAATGCATACTGTGCTACAATAATCTATGGTGTTCCCATCCTTAAATGGTTTGCGTGCCTAAAACGTTCACATTTTATTTTTTCTTATACATGCAAAAATAGCGGTGTGTTTACATGCAATGCTAACACCGTCCTCTGTGTTTGCAATTAATCTAGTGTATGAACAAAGTGAAAGAAAATGACTTCCAAGGCACAGTGCCCTGGCGCTGTACAGCTTCACGTGGTTAGATGGTGATGTTTAAGTCTATGCTTTTATTTGTTCTATTTAATACCTCCTGTTTTTTTAAAACCATAATTACATTTTAAATACCCGTGTCTTTTCTTTTAAAGATATAGAAATTACTATTCAACCTAACCCTGCCAAATGTAAAATAAATGTATTTCTCAAAAACATAATTAATACAAGTTGTATATGGGTGACTAGTAGGTTTTTTGTGTACTTGGGCAGTTTGTTGATTTAGCATGTTTTCCATTTGTATTGTATATAAAATTACCTAGAAATGCACTTTTCCCCCCAAAGTGTAGGCTTGTGAATAGACTTAGCATGATGAAGCTGTCATTCAGTGAATGTTCACCATGTGTAGAGAAAGCAAACTAGATGTACTTACCACATGAAAATTGAATTAGATGTCGAAGAAATCATTTGTCTGGCAAAATAAAACATTGAATTCCCTGGAGGATGTCTTTCACTTTTCTTTGTAGCATAGAATGTGTTAATGTGATAGAAACTACTGAATTGCTATTATCATTTAAAGATTTAGTTATCCAGTTTTGTGAAAACAAACCATTAAATACTTCAGAATTTACGAATTCCAGAATATATGTGTGTGTTTGTGTGTGTGTGTGTGTGTGTGTGTGTATCCTATATGGTAGCCTTCATTTAAGTCCAAACTTGAATCCATCCACTAACATCCACCGTCTACAAATATATTAGCATATGCAAATCAATACATTTAACCTCAGCATTTTTGCATTTATTCATGTCTCTGTAAGTTATTCATAATATATCCCGTCCACATGGTATATTTTAAGCAGTTATAGTTTAGAAATATAAAGGTTTAAATCCACTCTACCTACATTTAAGTTCAAGCTCATGATTTTGTTTGGGAAAAGACTTTATATTTTTCTCTACCTCAATATTCCCCATAAGGTCCCTCAATAGTCTGCATAGGACAGAACGCGTCATATACGCACGTGTCCGAAAAGCTATGACAATGCCCAGTTTTTCTAGACTAGGGAGGAGTCTTTCCTTTGTATTGTCTGTCGTGTTCGGTGTCAGTCATCGAGGTAGAAGTCTGCGGTCCAAGGATAAGCTGGTACCGAGCCAAACAGAGAGGCCTTTATAAACACGAGAGGGAGAATCCACAGATGGGCTCCTGTGACCCCTGTGAGTGACAGGACCCCTGCAGCTTTGTCCTGTCTGCTCCTGGGGAATCCCTCTGCATCAGCGTGAGTGCGAAGAAACAGAGACTTGCTGCAACAGCTCATCCAGCAAGATAATTTTGCTTTTTACCTTGATAGCCTTATTACTTCTTGGGACCTTCCTCACATTTAAAGTATAGGTTGTTTTTGTTTTTGTTTTTGTTTTTTTATTCTTTTTTTTATTTTATTAAATTATAAAAGTTTCCATTTCCGCCCCTCCTCCCAACACCGTCCCACTCCCCCCACTCCCTCTCCTCCTCCCTCTCCATCCCTAAGAGCAGTAAGGGTTTCATTCCTTCTCCTCCTCCCTCTCCATCCCTAAGAGCAGTCAGGGTTTCCTGCCCTGTGGGAAGTTCAAGTTCCTGCCCCCTCCCTCCAGGTCCAGGGAAGGTGAGAATCCAAACAGACTGGATCGCCAAAATCCAGTATATGCAGAGGAAGCAAGTCCCAGTGTCATTGTCAATGGCTTTTCAGAAAGACTCCTGGCCAGCCACATTCAGAGAATCCAGCCACATTCAGAGAATCTGGTTGGATCATGAATTCATTCAGTCCCAGTCCAACTGGCCTTGGTGAACTCTCATTATATCAGTCCCCTTGTATCAGAGACTTGATTATATATGGGATCCCAGGTCCAAGGAGAGATCCCCAGATTGTTCTCTGGACAGAGGAGAGGGTGCCTGAACCGGCCTTGGCCCACAACCATACTGATGAATATTTTGCATATCACCATAGAACCCTCATCAGGCGATGGATGGAGATGGAGGCGGAGACCCACGTTGGAACACTGGACCTAGCTCCCTAGGTCCAAAGGAGAAGCAGAAGGAAAGAGAACGTGAGCAAAGAAGGCAAGAGCAGAGGAAACCTTCATCCGACGTTGGATGGCGGTACAGACGGAGACCCACATTGGAACGCCGAACTGAGCACTCCACGGTCCAAATGAGGAGCAGAAGGATGAAGAAAATAAAAAAAAGTAATCAGGACTGAGAGGTTGTTTTTTTAAAAACAAATTTAATGTGCTTTTAAAAACTTTAGTATCCTTCTGATCTTTTTTTCTTCTCATCTATGTGAAAAATTCAGAGAAACGGACAACAGTTTTGACACATTCAGATAGCTAACGTCAGAAGAGGCAGTCAGCTTTGTTGTCCCATGTATTTAAGGCTGTTAAAAAATTGAAGTTTAGACAAAGATATAACCAGACCAAGTAAACCACAGCGTTTATTTAACTGGATATTCAGAGTTAGGCTGAATTCTATGCATGACAATAAAGTGTAGAAGATCACTGTAAAAGTATTTTATTATTTTTTATAAGAGTTTATTCACCATTCTTTCAACTGAGAAGAATTCTGCCCGAGAATCTAAATCCCTTTGTAACAACGAAACCAACCCCAACTGAATGCCAGCTGCTGAATTTCACCACCAATACGTTGTTCACGTAGGTGACCTCTGATGTACTTTACTATTTTCGTGGTTCCAAACGATATTATCTTCAGTATGTGGACAGCGAGAGACAGACAAGCAAGCTTCATGATGTAACAAATGTCGTCTTCCTTCTAGTGACTCTAATGTATTTATCAATTCACCTCATAAAATTCGACTTTCCAAATAGTTAAAATTGTGTTTTTCTCAGGGCTATTACGTTGCCATGCCTGAGTGTTCCTTTCATAAAGCGCTATTAAAGAATGACATTATAATAAACACATTAAAAACTGTTTATTCTATGTAAGGTTACCTCTCCACCCAAAGAACAAAAACAGGGTAAGTTTTTATTCTTCAAGTGTTTTTCTTTCTTTTGAGTTATCCATGAAAAAATGCCTTCTGAAGAGTTTATGAGATCAAAATGAGTTACTTTTGCAAGGCGCCACAGTCATTAGATGAATTGTTATGAAAATAAGTCACTACCATTGCCTCTTGGGATGCTTTCAATGTGCATGGGACCCCACAACTCATGACGTGAAAAGACTTCCGCATTCTCTGGTCTTGTCATAACTTCACCCGTACAATTTGAAATGAGACAAACAAGTTATATCTTCTAATTTTCTTTGCATTTATTTTGTAGATAAATTATAATCTCCTTTATTAATCAGTCTCATCTGAGATGCTGGGCCACAGAATGCCCACTGATGAGGTAATTTGTACTGAGGCAATAAGAGCTGGCAGTTATAGGTATGGTGAGATGCCAACAGTTTGTTTCATGGACAGGGAAAATTGACCACAGAAAATGCAATGTCAGAGAGACCCACAAACCTCAGACAATCCTAGTGATTTCTTTATAGCCTTATATGTATTTATGGATCTATGTATAATATACTAATATTCACAGTCAAGCCAGATTTAATTTATTAACTATTGTAGAATACATTTCCATTTCTGCTTCAAATTTTTATTCCATCCTCTACACTTAGAAATGTTTCACATCCCTCTCAATCAATTAGTGAGTTTTTGAAATCTAATTTTGTTATTATTGTATTTGGATGGTATTTCTCCTGAATGTATATATGTGTAACGTGTGAATCCCTGGCAACCGAGCAGTGTGGTAGAGCGTATTGGATCCCACGGAACTGGAATTACATACAGATGGTTATTAGCCAACCTGTGGGTTCTGGGAATCAAACTCCAGCAACTAAGGATTTTGACTTTCACACAGTTCTGTCCGCCCTTGTATAGCCTCATGAAGGTTTTGTCCTTGTGATCATCCGGGTCTCCTGCAGAATCAGTCTGACTTCACCCAGGGAATGAATCTAAACACCATGATGTAGATCTTACTACAGCCGCATAAGAATTTCCAGTCTTCTTACTAATGTCCCTTTAGGGAGTATTTTCTATGACATTTTCCTTGTAGAGTTCATGCTGTGCATAAGTGCCTATTTCCTTCTCAAGATGTTCTGAAATAGCAATGACTAGTCTGTTCTATAAATGTCAGATTTCTATTTGATGTGTTTAGGTGGGTCTGACATGTTTAGAGGTTTGCCTTTAGTTAAATGACTTTAAAAAAATGTAGAAAACAAAATGTGTGGTTATAAACCTTAAACACCTTCCATCTTTAACAATATTCATTAGAAAACAAACTCATTTACGAGGTTTTGTATATGGAAGACTTTGTAATTTGATTAGCAAGACACTTGAGGAACTAAAAATGCATAGATTATGACTTCCTACTCTTGACTATGAAGATTTATAGTTATCATAACATAAATCACATGGCCCTGTGGTCAAGGTTAATTGACTTTATTCAGATAAAATGGGTAATAATTACCCGAATCACAATTAATAAAAGCTCAGGGTCAGAAATTGGGGTTCAACCTGAAGATTCGAAAAGCAAAACTGGCTCTTACCTCAACCTTAGCCTGAAGCAGAGATCCTGCCTCCTGGAATCTCAGAAAAAGACTGTGTGCCTGTGAACTGTTTCTCCCATTTTATAATCTTGTTTTGGGCTGGGATTAAATGTGTGCACCACCATCATTAAAGGCATGCACTACCCAATTTCTATGGCAACTAGTGTGGCTACTGAGGTTAAATGTAGTCATTATTGCTACTGAGATTAAAGGTGTGTAACCATAATCTGGTCTATAAGGCTGACAAGTGGGACTGTTTTATTCTCAAATATTCAGGCAGTATTTATTTATTAAAAAACACTTGAAATGCCACTACATTTCCCCCCTCTTGTCTAAAAATTAAATAAAAAAGAAGACTACAGCTAATATAAGAACTATAAATGATAAGTGCAATGACTATATATAGTATATACAGGCAATAAATACATCAACAATGTATAGTCCATTTGCATTCGAAAAATCCAGAGAAAATATTTCATATCTATCCTATCTTGCTGAGTATAAAGTTTTATACCTAATTTACTTTCCATCATAACTTATTTTTTGTGTGTGGTAACTATAACTATAGGTTTCTAATTTTCAACTCCCTCAGAAACCCAACAAGAAAATAATATTAACTGAGTAAGCAGGAAGTGCAAGAAAGCAACTTCTAAAAAAAATGTGAATAATGACAGAAACAGATGGCGGCCTGAACAGTCATCTAAAGATTTTCTGCAACATTGGAGCAACCATCTTTGGCCTACAGGCCTAGCATATTCAACAGACTTTTCTGTGAAGCAGGATATTTTGTATTCTGCTTGTCTAGTTAGGACAGCATAATGTTAGTAGTTGAGGCAGGGCTATTTTCTTTCCCAGTGGCTTACTTTTGCCACAAAGAAAGTAAACTTCATGTGGGGTTTCTTCAATACCCATTATTTTCTCTG